ATATAAAGTGAGAAGTGTTCAGTTATCAAAAACTTGAACGTAAGTCATGTCTGGCTTATGTAACAGCTCTCTTGGGCCCCTTGGAAAGTTGGAAATTTAAACATACTCTATTACAAAACAAAAAACCCTGTCAAGCTACAACTTAAGTTTGAAGTTGTTAGAGGGTACTGTGTCTGATGAAAGTAAAACCTCTGAAATTAGCATAATTATGACCAAGTGGCTAACTGTTTGCAATGTGATTTACGACATGTTGCAGGTGATTTCCATTGCTTACATCATTCACAGTTTTGCACCATACATTACTTTTACCGATATTTTAAGTTTACAGTTTAGCCACTGAGGTATAATTTCTAAGCTAGACAACTACAGGTAGACTGCTATCTAAGAAAGCTAAACAAGCCCTGTATTGGTAAGCGTTCTTTTAAGGCACTTTAAGTTTCTGATTTTGCCAAAAAAATAGCACAAACATTCAAAGCTACTCCGACAGTTATTGTGTATACTATTCTGAAAAGTTGCTTAGTAACTTTGGCACAAACACTGCAAGACCATTCTGTTCTTGGAGACCATTTACTACCAGTTTCCCCGACTTCAATTTATTAAGTTGCATAAAGAAAACTGGAAACCCTGGGAGTGCTGCAACAAACATGTGAAATAAACAGCACTTGCTCCCCTTACTGTATACTGTAGTTATTAAGTGGAAACCCGTGGGACTGCAATCTGACTGGCTGAGCTGCTTGTACACTTTCAGCCAGAAGAGTGCAGTGGCTGGAGGTAGTCCACATAATAGTAACATTTTCCGTTTCAGGGAAGATTTAGAAATATCTCTAGATAATTCAATTCCCAAGAAGGCGACAAAAAGGAAATTGACTGACCTGTGAATTAAAAACCTCAGAATTTTGCAGTACAAACAGGTACAAGTTTCAAACAACAATTCAGTCCTCATGTTATTTTGCTGAAGGATGAAGTTACTAGATAAATAATTGAAAATCACTAATTTGAAAGAAGTTAAGCAAGAATTATACTAAAATAATTAGATTATTCACTATTGATTTCTATGAGGTGATAATTGATGAGGCTGGAAGCCAAATCAACTATCAACCACATAGAAATCTTGAGCTAGCTCACTGGGTTTATTTTGCAGAAATATGGAAATATTTGGTACTCACTGATAAATAAAGGATGTCTGCTCAGTGTGGGTTCTACTCAACACAGGTTTCACTACACAGTGAAACCTGTATTAAGCGGACAGCCTAGGAACCCTAACTAGTGTCCACTTAATACAGGGTGTCCGCTCAAACAGGTTCTAGTATGTTGGGCAATAATAGTTAATTATTATCCCTTTTGTAGCAAAGTGTAACACAGTGTAAGATCAAAGACTGGCTAAGACTGCTCATAGTACAATGTCCAGTCAATCAATGCATCAATCTAGAATAATCACTTAGCTTTAAAACGATATCGCTGAACAATGTTACAGAGTCTCAGTTGAACCTTTAGGAGTAAAATGAACACTTGAAGTATCTGCTTATTACAGGTTTTGTGCATCAAAATGGCTTTATATTGGTGTCTACGTCTGTTTAAAGTGGTGTCCGCCAAATGCAGGTTTATTTCATAATAAATGTGGGAAGAAAATTTTGGGACTTAAGCTGGTGTCCACTTAATAGAGGGTGTCCACTTAATATGGGGTCTGCTTAATACAGGTTTCACTGTATTTAAAAATGGTTTCTACTATCAAATTGGCTACCCTAAAGTTACAAAAACATCTTGGATGTTTGGTCTACTAGAAAACAATAAAAAAGAGTATTTTTTGTCAGCCTCATAGGTCCTTGCCTTCATCGGGATAAGTTTTCTTGTAATTTGTCCCGTCTCCCGGTAAAGGCGAGCTCACAGTAGGCCAAATCCAAGCCAAGTACCACTTGTTTCCAAATACGTCAAGAAAGTTCTGTTTCCAGCCAAGGTCGTACTCTCTCTTTTTCTTTTTTCGCTCGTATGACGTCTGACCGCGAAAAATGATACCAATTTGGAAAAACAACAATGTACTGAAAAGCATGAACGCGAAGATAGAAAGACCACTGATGAAGGAGATGAAAAATCCATAAACAGTGGTGTAACCCAACAACCACATCACGATGGGTGTAAACAAAGTAAGCAATGTCCAAAAGCCGAAACCACCGATTTCCTCAGTTACGTATTCGTGATGAAAAAAATTGGCATAAAGAGCTCCTAGCCAGAGATATACGGCCAAAAACATGTAGTAACGGTAGTTTCTGAAGCCAACACATTTGCCAGCAAAAATACAGTGATGGTCTCGCTTCAAAACACACTCGTTGCACACTTGGCAGTGATGGGCTCTCGCAGGGGTGTTAAGTTGGCAATAAGGGCAATAAGACCAGCCTGGCTTCAGCACAGATGGCATTCCTAGGTTCCTTCCTGTTGTATCTGTCGTGATCAGCATGTAAAAGTTGGCGAACACATTCAGCCATAAGAAGAATCCACAAAACACGTGTATACAGTACCATGTTGAAAATGGCGCATGGTAGATAGGCAGCACAACAAAGAGTTCGAAGATTGCTATAATCCACAGCATCACGATCATAAAAACAAATGCGAAGTAATCTGAAGGTTTTTGAGGGACAAATCTCTGCAGCCATCCACTTTTCTTCTCCATATCGCACCAAAAACGGGACGTTTTTCAAATTATTAATTAAATGTTCGCCTTCAGAGACCTGCCTGTGTAACCGCTCCAGGATTTCTCCCTGGAAGGACTGGGAATAGAGCGTGGTCTGTGCCTGTGGTAGTCCATGGACCAGACCACTTTTCGGTACCAAACCTAAGGACAAGACCTAAGTGTTATCAGCTGATACTACGGCGTGAGTTGTTTTCAAATTTGTATGATAACCTTTCTGAATGAGTAGCTTTGTGTGAGTTTTTTTAATTTAAAATTTCGCAAAAAAATAGCTTCCGCATGGAAACGAGGCTTAGAAGAAGATCCTCTAAATATATATATGGTCACGATAGTTTTATCAGTATTTTAGATATTTGAAAAGAAGTAGAAATTTGTGTAAGAAGTAGAAATTTGTGTCAGGATTACACGAAAAAGTAAAAAACAACCAACAGTGTCATTCACATT